TTTTCTAGTTAACTTTAATATTAGAGTAAATTGTCCCATTAATAAATTTAAGTATAAGAATATCGTCTGTATTTTTTCTCTGATCTTTACAATACTCTAATTTTCTTGTATTTAAACACAAATAATGTGTTTATCTTTAAATTTTTTAATGGTTCAATTCACTGTAATATTAAAATTACCACAGAAACTTACTGAATATGTATTTAGTAAGTGATGTATTAATAAAACGGTGTAACATAATATGTAGATACAACATCCTCTTTATCTAATTAAGTATACGTTTTTATTTACATGTATTTTTATATTTTTTTAACAGGGTTTTAAGCGAACAAGAAGTTGATCGTCATTTAACTCAAATTGCTCAGAGAGATTAAGCAAGTACATAAAAAAAAAAAATCTTAAGGTATAATTATATTGTATTGTTCGTCATGTAATACTTTAAAAATAAATAACAATAAAAACAATAATTTATGATTTTTTATGGTGAATGTTTTCCTTTCTAATAGATTAACGTGTTTTTTTTTTTTTTTTACTCAATAAAAGTATTTTTTATTTATAATTATAAATATTCATTTGTATATGCTGGCTTTTTATTATCAACCAAACAATTTTCTTTAATATTTATAATATTAAACTTTGGTTGTTAGTGTTTTATTTTATAAACCTATCAAACATTAAAATAAAAACTTAAAAATAATTTGCCATTCATAGTTTATATAATTTTGAGTTTTTATTAAAAATTTAACAAGATGATATCAGAAAGAGACTCGGAAAGCAATGATAGATCTAGTACTCGTTCTGGGATGAGTCGACAATCATCAATGCTCGGAAATCCGACCGAAAAAGTTGTTTGTGTTGCAAACGATGATTCAATAAACATAGAATTTGTGTATTATACTGCGATGTTAAAAAAGTTTGCACCTAACTTAAGTAAAGAAAAAGATAAAGAGAAGGTAATACCTTGGATCAGGAAACTGTATGCTGCAGAATATGCAACAGAGTTTTTTAAAATTAAACGCAACAGATATCTTTTCAACATGATTCTATCAATTCTTAATGATGAAATGTATGGTGTATTCAAGTCAATTCCCCCTATTGGCCCTTTAAAATCACCTGAAAGTTTTACTGTACCTACTATTCCATTGGCTACGTGGGAAGTTGATAACATGTGGGAAGAAATGTTAAAGGATGAAGAAAATAGTCCATCTATCTGTAGCATACATGATAAGTGTCCCGACGAAGAAGAAGAAGGCGATGATGATGAGTCAGTTATTGATACAACAAACATGTCTGCAGAAGATAGAGACCAGTTAGCTGAAGATCCAAATTTCAAAAAAAGATGGTCCAAAAACTAATAAGAATAAAAAAGCTTTGTTTAGTTCATTACTCGATTGGGAATTTCAATATTTACTTCATATTGCTCGACCTTACGCTGCTCTTATGACTACAGTACAAGATAAGACCAGAGTAGCGAAATGGTTACAGAAGTTGTGCAGTGTACGTATGGACATCTCATGCACACAAATGAAAGGCGTAAGAAACGATTACATGATGGCACTATTGGGCTACTTATACGATTTGCGGCTAACTGGTCCATTTGAACACCCTCCACCCGATGGACCACTAGAAAATTTAGGAAATGCTATGGAAAAATTAAAAGACGAATATCCATTAACTGTACCCACTCAGTATGATGTTAATGAGTTTTTGTCTGACCAACCAACACCAGCCGAAGGAGGCGCCTTTTGTTACATCGCCATAAGTGGTGATTTACAAGCAACAAATTTGATAAAATCAAAACCAGTGCAAACAAAAGACTGTCAAAAATAATATGACGAGTACGATGAGAATAGTTATTAGATAATAAACATATTAAATTGAATATACAACGTTAATTAAAACAGTGCCTTTTTTATTTATAATGGTTTGTGATAAATTTATAAATTTTAGTAAATTTAAATACAATGATTTATGTCTATTAAGCGCAATCAACTGTCTTGAGGTATCTAAATATCTTACAAAAATTTTTAGAAAGAAACAATTATTCCAAATTTTATAACATTATGCTTACAGAAAATTTTACATGAGGTGTGAGGCAATCAGGTACAATGATGATTTAAATACAATATTAAAATAATAAAATTGTTACCTAATTTTGCTTTATTTTTTTTAACAAATTATATTAACAATACAACATTAACACAGATTTTAATTTAAAACATACATGGAATTTATTTATTTGTCCTACAATTTTATTTTTAATTAAATTGAGTAGGCCAAATTGCACCTAAATATTAAATCAGATTTTGTTTGTTATATGAATACAATAGATTTGAGTAAGGTTTAAACACCTAATAACTTTTTAGCAGCATCCACAATATTATTTGTTTGTGGCAATGCAGCAATTTCTAATGATTTGGTGTATGGCATTGGAACATCTGCACCTGTTACTCTAATAACTGGTGCGTCTAAGTGATAGAAAGCCTCACCTAAAATTAATAAAAAATAATTTATTTAAATTAATTTCAAGAAATATGATTTTAATATTTGTGGTTTTATATCTTACTCTCCATTATTTGAGCTGATATTTCTGATCCAATACCAGCATATGGCCATCCTTGTTCTATAGATATAATATGATTTGTCCGAACCACTGACTGTATAATTGTATTAATATCAAGTGGTCTCAATGAACGTAAATTTATAACTTCTGCTTCAATTCCAACCGAAGATAACTCTTTTGCTGCATCCAAAGCTAACTCAACTCCTTTGGAGTGTGCTACGAATGTAATATGGTCACCTAAATATAAAATCAATGAACAAATAAAACTATCAATAATTCTTTCTAAAAATATGTTTAAGTTATACCTTTTCTTTCAATTTTTGCTTTTCCAATAGGTAACACAAAATCTTTTTCCAATACTTCATCTGTTATAGGATATTGGTTACCATATAATAATTCATTCTCTAAGAACACAACTGGATCTGGATCTCTTATTGCTGCTTTTAACAATCCTCTAGCATCCTCAGAATTGTACGGTGAAATAACCTGAAATTAATATTACATATATTAATAGGTAACAATATGTATAAAAAAAAACCTACAAAATCTTCTAAATAAATAAATATCAAGACAAACAGGCAATAATTTTTATATATTGATTTACTTTTAAACCTGGACATTGACTGTACCAAGCTCCAAAACATTGAGAATGTTGAGCAGCCACACCAGATGCTGCTCCATTAGGTCCTCTGAACACAATTGGTACATTTACCTAAAATTATAAATTTATTAAATAAAGACTAATTTAATATAACAAGGTCTACTTTAAAATTCTATTAACATAGTATTTTATTTTTATAGCACATAATAAAGAAAAAAAAAAGACACCTTTTGTTATAAAATAAAATATTTCATGGGTTTTGATTGATTTTTAAGTAAAATAACATATATTATGAACAGTAATATTTTTAAGAATATAATATTTCATTCAGGTACTTTATTTATTATAATGTTGAAGAATTTAAAAAATACAATTTTTTGATACCAATTAGAATTATTTTATTTTAAGCAAGCTCAAAAATAAAAATATTTTGATTTAAATGTATATTGCCTAATGCCTACATTGAGATGGTTTAGCCAAAAAAAAAAAAAAAAAAAATAAAATGTCCAATTAAAATATTAAGTATTTTGCAAAAATATAAAATTATTAGTTTTATTACCATGCCAGCAGACATATAAAAAGTTTTTGCAGCAGAATTAATAACATGATCAATTGCTTGCAATGAAAAGTTGAATGTCATGAATTCACAGATTGGTCTTAATCCAGCCTAAAAACAATACAATAGATAAATTAGGCACTTTTCTATACCAGACAGAATTATTGAAATTGATAATAATAAATTTTAAAAGTTGAAAATATTGATACTAAAAAAAAATATAATACCATAGCTGCACCAACAGCAATTCCGGCAAATCCAATTTCTGTAATTGGAGTATCAATAACACGTTTATCGCCATATTTTTTGTATAATCCTCTAGAAACTTTATAAGCACCATCATACATAGCTACTTCTTCACCTAATATGAAAACCCTTTCATCACGTTCCATTTCATCGTCCATAGCTGAATTAAGCGCATCTCGAACAGTCATCTAAACATGGCCAATATACAGTAAACAATAAATCGTATATTAGACCTAAGTTTACCTGTTTATTTGCCAACACTCGTGTTGTGGTAAGCGATCTCTTAATTATTTTGACAGTATTCTATAATATAAAAATTATAAAATTATACAAAATATTCTGCAAGATACATAATAGAATTAGCATAGATTACATAATACATAATAATAGATATTAATGACACAAATATATCAACTAGTGACACAGTTTTTATAATTAAATGATTTTTAATAAGGAATTTAAAATTTTAAGACAGGTGTTGCCTGTCTAAAATTTATATGAATTTAATCTATAAATTTAGTAGTATAAAGGTGTGATCATAGAGTGAAAAAAAATTTTGGTTACCGTTAAAGCCGAAGACGTATTAAAAGAAATTGAAAACGCCATGATAAGTTAGTTGGGTACAATAATTAATTATTTACAATTGTACGGCACAACCAGACGAAGACGACTTATGTTGTCGAAGAAAATTGAAACTTCACCTTGGCGGGCGATGCGAATGATTTTGTGAAGGGCAAGGGTTAAATTTTTTTCCACTTATATGGATAACGAAATGATTAATCACACGCCAATATCATATTTATAATAATAATATGATAAGTGGTTAGCACATACCACGTAACTGATTAACTATTACGGTAGTCAGAGACGCTATAAGTAGTTGACAGTTGAGGTTATGTTGGATTTTCGATTTTTTTCACTTCTCCGTCATCGGACGTGGACCAATGAGAACGAGACAAGTGATTGTTGGTCGACCAATAACAATAGCCCACATGTCTGTATAACTGTATATATATATGAAACGAAGCATCATCTAGCCAGTTTTCTAGAATCATTATTCATTTTTATTAACGTTGTCTATCTGTTCGGTTAATATTTGTTGGTTTGACTACTTGAACGTCTTGAACTTTGTCATCGTCATCATAGTCGCGATTCCCTAGTTATCTGTTCAACATACAATTAAGTTTTTATTGTTTTAAACCTCCAGTTGTAAATCTATTTAATTTGTGGTCATTGTTTAGGTAAATATAATCTATTTGTCGTAAAAATCTGGTTATTCTAATAACAAAATTATTTTTTATTATTGAGAATAGCAGACAGAAAAAATTATTTTTTTTTTTTTTACAGAAATCAAAACCTGGGCATGGACCACCGAAAGTCCATTTGTGCTTTTTGGGCACTATTATTTTTAGTCAGTCCTATTGCTGCCAAAGATGCTGGAACTAAATCTAAAGATGAACTTGGTACTGTTATTGGGATTGATTTGGGCACAACATACTCATGGTAATTATAATTCATTTGTTTACTTATGTTGTATATAAATTAACACAGCCTTCATTTTACTATACTTATATTCACTTTTTATTGTTTGCTATTACTTAAAATAAACATTTCAAATGCACTACTAACAAACCATATGTTATTTTGATAAATAAATAAACATATAATTAATAGGAATTATTTTTAAGTTCATAATTATTAATCTTCATCACTTTAATTCCCATCTATAAAAATAATTAAATTTTTGAATAGGTACCTAACTTTTATTTGAATAAAATATTTAACCTGGAATGAATAAACCTCTGACATCATCAAAAATATTGTACAGGTGGCACATTAGAAAAACATTAAATTGGATTATTTTTTCCTTTATTATTGTCTATAAGATTCCTATAATGATTTAAGTTTATATTCATGATTCATAAATTATATTTAAAATTTATTAGCTATTGAGTGGTAGTTAATGCAATGAAATAATACTTTTTATTTGTAATTTACCAATAGTAAGATATATTTGGGATTAGATCATCAACAGAATTGTTAGTATATTTCTTATCAGTATTTTATTTATTCTTAGTATTATTTTAACATAAAAATTATTAATTTTTTAAGTAATATATTTTCTCTCAAAAATTTGAAGAATTGAACTTTTGTTTCAAACTCCCATTTTTATTTATTATTATGTTAACTTTCTTTCAATACTAATATATTAATCTTTTGTAGTTCAAACAATAATAATATATTTATTATCTATTTTTTAGTGTGGGAGTATACAAAAATGGACGAGTGGAAATAATAGCCAATGATCAAGGTAACAGAATTACTCCATCATATGTTGCATTCACCAAAGAAGGAGAACGTCTTATTGGTGATGCAGCTAAAAATCAGCTTACCACAAATCCTGAAAATACAGTATTTGATGCTAAGCGATTAATTGGTCGTGATTGGTCTGATGTTAATGTTCAACATGATGTTAAATTCTTCCCCTTCAAGGTAAATAATCATATTTTTATTGATTTTTAATAATTTTTTATTCATATTTTGTATTATTTTTTTTTAGGTTATTGAAAAAAATACTAAGCCTCACATTGAAGTTGAAACTATTGAAGGTACATCCAAAGTGTTTGCACCAGAAGAAATTTCTGCTATGGTATTAGGTAAGATGAAAGAAACTGCTGAAGCATACTTGGGCAAAACTGTAACACATGCAGTTGTCACTGTACCCGCTTATTTCAATGATGGTCAACGTCAAGCTACAAAAGATGCAGGAGCTATTGCTGGTCTCACAGTCATGAGAATTATTAATGAACCTACAGCGGCAGCTATTGCATATGGTTTAGATAAAAGAGAAGGAGAAAAGAATGTTTTGGTATTTGATCTGGGCGGTGGTACCTTTGATGTATCATTGTTGACAATTGATAATGGTGTTTTTGAAGTAGTTTCTACAAATGGAGATACTCATTTAGGAGGAGAAGATTTTGATCAAAGAGTAATGGATCATTTCATTAAGTTGTATAAGAAAAAGAAGGGTAAGGACATTAGAAAAGATAACCGTGCAGTTCAAAAATTAAGACGTGAAGTAGAAAAGGCAAAACGTGGTCTTTCTGCCAGTCATCAAGTGCGCATTGAAATTGAAAGTTTCTTTGAAGGAGATGACTTTTCTGAAACTTTGACTCGTGCCAAATTTGAAGAACTTAACATGGATTTGTTTAGATCTACCATGAAACCTGTTCAAAAAGTCATGGAGGATGCCGACATGAATAAAAAAGATATTGATGAAATTGTGTTGGTTGGTGGTAGTACGAGAATACCTAAAGTTCAACAGCTAGTCAAAGAGTACTTCAATGGAAAAGAACCATCACGTGGTATTAATCCAGATGAAGCTGTAGCTTACGGTGCTGCTGTTCAGGCTGGTGTTTTATCGGGTGAACAGGATACAGATGCAATCATTCTATTGGATGTAAATCCTCTAACTATGGGTATTGAAACTGTTGGTGGAGTTATGACCAAATTAATTCCACGTAATACAGTTATTCCAACAAAGAAGAGTCAAATTTTCTCCACTGCTGCTGATAATCAAAACACTGTTACTATCCAAGTATTTGAAGGTGAAAGACCGATGACCAAGGATAATCATCTTCTAGGAAAGTTCGATCTCACTGGAATACCCCCTGCACCTAGAGGAGTTCCACAAATTGAAGTAACATTTGAAATTGATGCTAACGGTATTCTACAAGTTAGTGCTGAAGACAAAGGAACTGGTAATCGAGAAAAGATTGTTATTACCAATGATCAAAATAGATTAACACCAGATGACATAGAACGTATGATCAAGGAAGCTGAGAAGTTTGCTGATGATGACAAGAAATTGAAAGAGCGTGTTGAATCTAGAAATGATCTGGAATCATATGCATATTCATTAAAGAACCAAATCGGTGATAAAGAAAAATTAGGCGGAAAGGTAAGGTTTTTTTTTTTTTTGTTATCTTATTTGACTTATTCTCATATGTTATTTTTTTTGTTTTAATTGTCAGATTCTGAAAAAACAAAAATGGAAGAAATCATTGATGCTAAGATTAAATGGTTGGATGAGAATCAAGATGCTGATCCAGAACAATATAAGACACAAAAAACTGAATTGGAGAGTGTTGTCAATCCAATCATATCAAAATTATATGCTAGTACTGGTGGTGTTCCTCCTCCACCTGCCGGAGATGCTGAGAAAGATGAACTTTAAAAATGGAAATATTTATAAATTTATTTATTGTATATAAGACTGCTAAGGTTTTACTTCCTTTTGGATTATGTATGTTAAGCAGTTAGGTTAACAATTAGCTAATATATTTTTTTCTATGTATGTAATTCATCATTTTATAAATGGTTTGAATTATTTCGTTTTTTGTACAATAAACATTTAAATCCATTTGATAACACCGTTAATTAAGCAAAATTAATTTTATTATAGAAATTATGTCAATAATGTGTACAAATTATATTAACTATACTAAAAATTCATCAATTTGGAACAATAAATTAACATGTTGCTCTGTTTAGAAATACTTATACATTTATGATTTATTGCCATTCATGACCGATAATTAATTTCTATTTAATACTATTTGTATTTAATATATTCTTTATTTTTCTTAAATTAATTTTTTTTTGTTATTTCTAAGTGATTATTAATCAATAACATTAAGTTTTAATATCACTTGCATTTAAAAATATTTTTTCTAGTTTCAATTAAAGATTTTATCATTGTATTGGTCATGTGCAGCCAAAATGTATAATATTACCCGTGAAATGTAACGATCATTAATTCGATATTGCCTAAAATAAATTATTTATCAGTTCATTTAACTGCTGTTTAAGACATAACTTGCTCACACTATTTTACAATGACAACTTAATTTATTTTCAAATAAAAATCGATAAACGTTTCAATTTAATTAATTCAACAATAGTTATTTCGACACCGATATAGCTAGCAATGTAAACATAGTTTAGTACACACAATCCTCTAACTATTCCTTGATATTGATGATTCAATAGTATCCAATAATTAAATCTCCTTATTGATTGGTTTCTGGTTAGTAAACATTATATATACATGACACGTAATGTGTTTACGTGTAACAATTTCATTTAGTGACTGTACACTACACAGTATACTACTTAATATTATATTATTTATCCGGATAAAGCTTAAGTTCTTTTCACACAATATTAGACATAATTCATGATGAATAAACTGTCTATATTATACTATATACTCTGAAGTCCGATACATTTAATAAAGCAAAAGAAATAAAAACTGTGCGTGTAACGAATAACGATGCAGTGTTTCGATTCATAAATAGATATTCATTTTAAATCAAATGATTTATCTCGGACAATGATATCAACTAATATTGAAGGTACTGGGTATAACCTACAGATAATAAATCTGCAACGTCCAACTTCTTGGTTATAAATTATGAAAATGTATTACCATTATGGCATTACAATCATTTGATATAACAAAAAATATCTAATTTGTCATAATACAACCTTTGAACCATATACTCATACTTTTTTATGAATAAATAATTCGATTTTTTTATTATAGTACAAGTATAAGACCTAGTAATTATTAAGTTAAAATGGTTTTTTTTTCTTTAATGATTTCAAGTTTTACCGAATGTTAATTGTTAAATACATGCTGTCTCGCTGATATTATAAATTATAATGTCAACATTGTCAACTATTGAAGTATTGAACGAAATATAGTACGCGTACGCCTAGTACGGTCAGCATAAGCATATCTATTATCTACCGTTATGAACACTACACGTCTACACTCTACACTATTTAGTACAGTATTACATACGCGTGCGCAACCACCGGTTTCAGGGGCAGCAAGTGATTAATTCGGCCCATTCTTCAAATTCACTATTAAAACCAGCCCATAACTTTACTTATTTTTTCTACAAATGGCCATCAAAATTAAAATTGTATTGGTTTTGTTTTTAAAGTTGTAAATAAGGTACTAATCCATTAAAGGTGTTATGATGTATTGATGTACGGTAACGTTAAAAACCTAGTTAATTTAGATTTCTTGACCATAAAATATAAATAATAATAAATATTAATATTTACAATTTAAAATCATGGCTATTTTTTTTATAATAGACAGGTCTATTAGTTTTATACTAGTAAGTTATATGATCATAAAATAGTTATTTATACTTTACTAAATAAAATAATTTTTTTTTATAATTTTATAATTTTCTTATTTACAATGATCATCAATTGTGAAAATATAATTTTACCAAGGCTCATTATCCAAAATTCCAAAATTTACCGGCCGCAGTAACCACAAAGATGAAAGAAAGTACAGGGGCAGCTTATGCTACCTTTGTGTGAGTGAGTGGCGGGTGCGGTCGTCCGAAAAACGATAAACACAAAATGTATTGTCAACATAAAATTTTCAAATACATTTTCAAAGGGAATTAGCGAGCAGCGTTGTCACTCGCTCGCTCAGACATTCAAAACGAAAATATCCCTCGATTTGCTTATGCAAATGCACACCACTTATAGTAGCATTCTATGATAGTAGGTCACATGGTTAATAAACAATGCCCATAATTTTGCTAACAACGATTGGTAATAATTTTCAATTATCATTATTTTGGGTCCTTATCATTTTTGGACAAGTGCTTATCCCTCCCCCCGTGCGAACGCCAACGCAGTAGCACCACGTTGGCGTGTTTAATTATCACCCAAGCTCATTCTCCTCCATAGTCCACTCCCCGTTATCCGTCTGCCGTGTTATGCGACGAATACTAAAACGCAGACAGAGTGACGTGTTACACATGCGCTGAAACAGGTCGACGAGAGTATACCAATTACCAGTATATCTACTATCTACCTATAGAGATAACCAACTAAACTAACCTAATCTGACAAAACGTTTCAACGCTTTAACTGTAGTCAATTTTTCGTAGCTTTTTTCCGTAAGTACCTAATTCACTAGAATGTACTTGCATTTTTTGTCTCTGTCACAAAACAGTTCAAATTTTTCAGAAAAATCCGTTTCACCTGTTACCTATTTTTTAAAATATGAAGTTTCAAATGCTCTGTGCTCAAAGGCTCACATTTTTCTTCATTGGTGAATGGTGATACATTTTAGTAATATGAGTTATACCTATTATTAGTAATTACAATTTACGATTTAGACGTTTTGAGGCAATCAGTAAATAGTTCCTACTTTTACTGGCAATAGCCAACACGATATAAAAACATTGATACCTACAAATAAATTATATTTTAGTGGTCAATAAAATAGGTGCGATAGTCGTAACGAGTATTGTGCTTTAAGCTTTTGTGTGCTTTAGTGCATTAAGTTGAAATTTGTGTTTGTCGGGGGAGGGGCGTCCCCCCTGAAGTATACCTGGATTCAACACTGAATTGAAAATAAGTATAAGATACATAGAAATATAGGATTAGAAGTTTCCTATAATTATTATAAATGCTTTTGTTTGAACATAATATTTTTTACAAATAATATTAATATTATTTAAGTATCACTTAAACTATTGTTACTTAGAACATATATTAAACATATTTAATCTATGCTTAGAATAACAATAGAACCAACAAATATAAACAAAATGTCATTGTATTCTTATTACTCTTTAGCCCAAAATGAATAAATTTGATATTTTTATTTTTGAAAAGTTATGAGCAATTAAAAGTGTAAATTAGAGGTTCCCTTGATCATATTCTCATTTTTAAATTTTCTATTTTATCTGTAACATGGAAATAATACATAATATGTGGAAATGATGTCTTGAATTTCTGAAAATAAATAATTAAAAACAAATGTTATAAATATTAATAGGACTTCTGTATTTTGATTTTTTGAAATATTTGTTTACAAGGACATTAAAGAACAGAAATAGGATGTAATGGTCAAATTAATTATTTAAATTCAAAAATTATAAGTATAGTCTATATCTGCAATTGATAGAGTGATTCTTTTTTTTATTACCTTAACTTATTGTCACTGAGACCTACTTTAAAATTACACAAGTAGCTGCAACCCTTAAAAAAGTAATTTTTAAATAGAATACCATAAAAGCTACCACACAATAACGACAATAATGTGAAAAAAATTTTATCACAATTGGTGGCTTACTGACTTATCATATAATTAAATGATACAAATATAGAAATTTATATATAAATGAAACCACTTGGGAAAAATATTTAGGAATAATTTAACTATAGGAGAAATATTAAAATTAAATTAAATAACACATGAAATTTGTTTTTGTTTCATCACATTTATTAAATCATTTGGATAACAAATTCCTAATAATAGATCAATATATTTATCACAACTGTTAGGTTTTTTTAAAAAAACATGTCCTCCAACTTGTATGATTACTACATTTACACAATACAAATATTGTTAATTCAAAACTAAAAATATTTCAATTTATACAATTACACCATTACTTACAAATGTTCAACAATAAAAAAAAAAAAAAAAAAAAATGATAAAAAATAAATAAAATGCTTATAAAAGTAATATTTTTGTTTAACCTATTATTTACATTTTGTTACCTAGAAAAAAAAATGGAGGGAATTTACATGTTAAAATAAGATTAATATACATTGAAAGTTATAATTGATTTTACCATACATACAAATAAAAGCTTAATGATTAAAATAAAAACAAAATATGTGTTGCAACTAACTGTTTTCAGTTAATAAAATGTTAACTATTTTATAATTAATATCGAATAAAATAAACAGTTGACACAAAACATTATTATCACGGAATTTTTATTTGCACAATAATTTTCATACGGTTTTATTAACTATTGTTTTTATATGACAGATTAAACGATTCTACATATAAAAATGAACAAAACGTAATTTTTAGACTTCACACAAAATTTGCATTTATAGTAATATTACTTAAATATTAAAATATTTACTTAATTAAATTAACATTTGATCAACCATTAAGGATGCTATACTCTTCAATTTCTTCATTTTAAGATATTATTTAATCAAGAATAAAAAAATGTAATATTTTTAGTTTACGAAACTAAAAAAATATAAATTTATCAATAATATACAATTAAATAAAAATAAAGTATTTATAATTTTGTAAAATTTTGTTTCATGTAAAATATTACAATACAAATAATTCCACTTAACATAACAAAACAGTTATTAATTTGGATATTGTGTAGAGTATTAAAAATAATAATAATAAATTTAGACACTCATATCTAAGTGCAGTTATTAGTTTTTCAAGGAAATTCTTCAAAAATAAAATATGATATATAAGCATAGGAAGTTTTTATAAAATACACGCAAAATTTTTTTGAAAAGACACAAATAACAAACAAATATATAGTACAAATAAATTTACTATTAGGTTA